TGGATCACCACCACTGGGAAACGTACCAGAACCCGTTCTCTCCTCCTGTCTCGTTTCTCCAGGGCCCTCTTTCTTCTTTCCTCACACTTCAACACGGCCTGCGTGGAGAATGATGAGCAGGAAAAACGCGAGACAAACAACGAGCGGCAACCACGGGACGGCAGACCAAGTTCAGTAGAGAACGATCCAGGGGCAAGACGGTGGACAGATGGACGTACAGACATACACCCAGACACGCGCAGACGTGAAGCCTATCCCGCACGAAAGCTTGGCGTGCCTGTGTGACCACCAAGTACTCGTACACAATCCCCAGAACCCCTGCATTCTGCGTGTCTCTACAGTGTTAGCTTTACCCGTCCTTCCACAATCCGTTTAAAGCCAGTGGTTGTTCGAGAGGAGGTCAGGGCATTGCTTATGCGGAGACTTGGACGACGAGTCGGGTGGTGACGACGATGGTGACAAAGATGATGACACCAACAAGAACAGCAATAACAACAACAACAACAACAACAACAACAACAACAACAACAACAACAACAACAACAACAACAACAACAACAACAACAACAACAACAACAACAATAACAACAGCAACAGCAGCAACAGCAGCAACAGCAACAACAACAGCAACAACGACATCAAGGGAGAGGATCACAGCCCCTTCTCCCTTTCTCTACCTCGGCTAGAGCGATGTCATTGTGCTGCGCGGCGAGGTGAAGAAGCGTGTTGCCCCGGATATCGGACCATGTGAGCGAGACTCGACTGGAAGCTGTATCACAAATGAATACACGAACCAAGGGTACATACGCGCGAGAAAACGTTAGGCACGCGTACGCCAGGCACGATGAAATTTTTTTGAGACACCCACCAATCAATACAGTAGAGTTCCCTGTTTAGTGCCGGTTGAATAGTGCCGGTACTCGGTATAGTGCCGGTGTTTTCGGCGGGCCCACACTGGAGTTCCAAGTGTTCTCAGTACTTCGAAGAGTGCCGGTCCGGTCTAGCGTGAGTTTTCTGGGCACATACCGGCACCAAACAGGGACTTGTACTGCAGGTGCTTGCGAGGTTACATGCATTGCCCAACTCGTCGCGCGCGAACGAAGTAGCAAATTTCACCGGCTATAAACTTGAGGGAAATACAAAATTTTCCTCTGAGGGAGGCACGAGATTGAGCGAAGTGTTCCAAACTATGGTCGCAAGACCAGAGGCCTTGTACACATAAATATATATCACCTTCCAACGGATTGCAAGGAACACAAGTTTCTCAGGTGCTCTTCTCTGGAATGTGGTGCAGTTATCATGTGTTATACTTGCGACCACTGACTCGCTCGATCATTGTAACCGGATTACGTTTGTTCTCGGAAGACGTGCTGCAGGAGAGCTTTTGCATCGGAGTACTTCGTTTTCGCAGGATGACTTGCCATCGAAAGCAACTTGCGTGGCAGGATAGATTCATTCCCACACAATCATGGTAGAACTCGGTCGTCGGATCATCGGAGAACTGTTCCAACTGAGATCGATCACCGTTGTCATGGCAGTTTTCCGTGGGTTGTAGGAGAAGCTTGGTCCACCTGACAAGGCTTGAATCAGAGAGTGTGCACCGCAAAACGCACTCCGAAGTAAATATTTCCCGGCGAAAACAAACCTCGGACCATGCGCGTCTCTCGAGCGGAGACCCACTCCCCGCCAAGCCCAATCCCCCATTCCGACGGGGCAAGCAAAAGCGGCGGAACTCCTCCCTTTTCGGCGACACCGGTCTTGGGACTTGAAGAGACCGTACCAGCACCAGCAACACCGCCGCTGCCATGAACGCTGTTGTTGTTGCCAGGTCCACTTGCCGGTGCCGTGGGGGAGCACCGCCGGCTGCGGTGCTGCCCAGCGGTCGGGCTTAGGCTTCGGGTGTGTCGACGGGACCTGTCGCTGTTGCCTCCGCCGCTGTTGTGGTACTTAAGCGTTGGAGACAGGTACGCTTGGACGGCGTTTCTGGGGAAGACACGGTAAGGAAAGTGCATGTATAGGGGATGGGAGGGATTGAAGGGAGATATTCCCTCTCAACCATGCTTAGCCGCGATACAGCACGGGTTGGGTTTGCGTGAAAAGGGGAGGAAATACGCCAGGCACGAGGCAATAGCCTCGGGATTGTACTATTGTCGGAACACCCGCAGGCGAAGTTTCGGGGGAGAAATATCCTTGTTCGTTGCTCGCCATGCTGTTCCCGAGTTCCCCCTCCCCTAACCTTCCTGCATTTACAGTTGGCAGCGTACTCTCTGTCAGCCCTTTTAAATCACGCTTGTGATGTTGTTTGTTGTTGGTGTTGGTGGTGGTGTGGGGCGTTCGGCTGCTTCTACATTGCATTTTCGTTTTGTTCCTTTTTTCGCCTTCCGACCGATGGCATCTCCGGCGCGTGCTTAACTACATTCGTACGATTCCCCCCTCTAGCTCTCTCACGCATGTGTGTGGGAGCGGGTAGGACGTGCTTGTCAGTGATGCTTGGGAGTATTTCGTGTTCCTGGAAGATTCAGGATGGAGTAGGGGCAGGAATACGCGGAACAAGGACGAGGTTGGCCTAAGCGGGTAGGACCCGGGGCACTAGAGGAGTCGGCAGAAGTCAATCGACTGTACGGCCACGCCTCTGCATTTTGGGATCGAGGAAGGTCAAGACAGGTGGTTAAACACCCGTTGGTGCACTGTCGGGGAGTTCATCTATGCATCTCTTTCTACTGGCTCAACAAATCGAGCGTTTTCACAGGGGAGAGAAAGGATACCGTTGACGTGGAGACTTTTGAGGGCTCAGACGGTCGCATCGTCCCGGAAGGGGTCCATGCTCATTCCGTCTCGTGAGAGGTACAAAGGTTCGCATGTATGCCAAACTTAACTCCGACAAATATATACCTGTATGCGGTTTCGGGTGAGGCAGGGTCTCGAGGGTGTCTGAGCCGTGTCGCTGCTCTTCCGGTTGCGAAACCTTCACCACTCGAAGCTCTGGCCTCCCTCTCCCTAGCCAAAGACCTTCCTCTTGTCCTTCCCGTTGTCCCTTGACTGTCTGCAGCGAGAGGGCACACGCACGAATAATTTTTTGTAGAAATGGTCCATGACCATCGCATACGGCCACGGCCTGCCAGGCGGTGTCTGTTGTATAAACCTTACCTGAAGATCCGCACCCAGGACGTGCCTAGCTGGGTGGGCCGCTTGGGGCTGCCTACGAAATCAACTAAGCGCTGTTTTTACGATAAATGGAGCTGTCGATGCAGCACTGGTCAACTCTGCGCTGCCATTACGACAAATATAGCTGCCTATGGTACACTGGTCAACTCTGCGCTGTTCACTATGTTACTACGACAAAAAATATGGCTGATTGTACAGAAGATAGTCACAAGTTGCCACGGCAGGTTGTCTTCTCTTCCTCAAAACGGACCTGGCACGCATGGTATGCGAAGCCCACAAAATGGCTTTACGTTGTTTATAATTTCGAAGCTACGCGTACATGTCATGCCCATAAAATGGCTTAACATGGTATATACTTCGAACTATATGCGTGGTCATGTTGGTAGCCCACGAGTTGTAGCGAGTGACACCTCATTTACGAAGCAACGATGTGGTGATGTTTTTTGTTAGTTAAAGGCGTACAGCAGTACCGACCACTTCGCGATATGTTTCGAGCAAATAGCGACTACTAGAGGCGGGGCCGGCAAATATTCGATATATTGTGGATATCTGATGGTGTTGTCCTTCCTAATTCGGGACACCAGCTGCAATGAAAATTATTGTAGATTACTGTGTGCATACGTACGCGTACTTGCATAGACTTTCTCGAAAGAGGACACGACTGCCCACCGTACCCGAACAGATGCTAACAACATAGGCAGTATCCTCACCGCTGCTACCCATGTCACTCTTGTTTCTTCGCGCCATAGAATCCGCTGTGCTGGCATCTACCTCAACAAGCTCGGGGGCTCGATCCCCGCCGTTGGCCGGTGTCGTGTTTCTCTGGTCAGCGAAATCTGCGTTGGGAGGAGCTCCCATCGTGTCACAAGTCGTGTCCTGTGTGTCGTTGCCGTATGTGGGTGTTTGCCAACTATTCGCGTCATGAATATCGTCACCGTTTAGGTCGCCGACACTATCACCATCGTTTCCAAACAACCGGCTGAGTGGTGCGGGTGGGGTGAGAGGGAAACTCTGCGTTGCTCCGCTAATGTTATCACCACCGCCGCCGCGTTTGTTCTTGCCCCTGGTCGCAGAGTTTGGATCATCGACCACCTTCCACCATACTTTTTTCTTTGACGCCATACCGGCACTGACTGCCCTACTGAAAGAGTGTCAAACCCCGCCGAGTTGCGGGCTCAGGCGAGACAAGGTGAAAGCCCTATCGGCGTTATTACTCAGCTGCTCGCTCGCACCTCGCGTCCAGCGTCCAGCTCGGATGCCAGTCCAAACCGGTCGCTATTCCGCCGCAGAGAACCAGCCTGGGTTGGTGCCGGTTCATCTTCTGCATTGTCTGGAGCGGAGTAGCAGACAGACAGACTGCAGAGTCTGGAGTCTGGACGTCTGGACTGGTCTGGACCTGCATCTGTGACCAGGATATCAGGATCACATGCACGCACGCATGCAGTGCTGCAGTTCTGCTTTATAACGTCACAGCGTTGCAGCGAGCTTGAATATCAGAGAGAAAAACAGCCACCACACTGCCAGTCTAACAGCCACATCGTCTGCATCTGTGAGCGTTCGCATGTTCGAGCGGAGGGATGTATGTGCCTTGTTGTGAGGTTAAGCGTTACAGCGATCTTGAACATCCGAGAGAAAAACAGCCACCACACTGGTGGCAAGCATCATTGCTGTGAACGTCAAAAGCAACGCAACACCGAGGTCTCCCGGCATGTGCCCCCCAAGCACAGGGTTGGCAGAAGCAGGCACCAAAGCGGTGACGTCATGTTTTGTTTCGGAGTCTCTTGTCGTTTCTTAGCAAGCGTTCTCGTCCCAACAAACGAGCACAAAGGTTGCTGTTGTTATCTTCACATTAAAAACAGTGCCCGTCTCTGCACTGGTTCCACTGACGCACACACCTTCCGCGGGTACAGGTCAACTACCCAAACAAAGGGGGTACCACACCCTTTTCAAAGAAGTGAAAGGACCTCAAGTAACACTCAAATAACGAGTGTAAATAGTGGCATCCATCACAAAAAAACAAACCGGCAGAGGCCCGCGAACCCGGAAAAAAGAGAACGCAAAAATAATAGAAAAGCACGACGGCGCCATCCAACCCAAAAACGCGAAAGTTCATCGTTCCCGCTCGGCACGCGATCCCAAGCAGACAAAAAAACAAAACCAAGGTGACCATCCAAGATCATGAATCAAGCCAGACGATTTTGAGTAAAGTACACTAAACTCGGTCCGTTAGTACGGTTGAGAAGTTGTACTCAATACTTCTCCGGGGCATGGTCGCCGCCGGGGATATACGCCTGCCAAGCCTTTTCCCCCACACGTACACGCAAAAACGATTTGCGTGTGGGTGCGCCCTGCAGAGAGCATGAGCGCCACTTTCAGGATGATGATGGATCATGTCAACTCATGCCTAAATTTATGAAGGGCCAAACATACACAACGACAATGCCGAACTCTAGACTAGAGCAAAACATGGCTCGGTTCGCCACTACTACTATTACCCGCCATGCCCTTTAGAAAGGACTTCCTCCGACAACCCGTGGAGTTTAACTACACATCTAGATGCCCTGAGACGTACCTATGAATCGACTGATGACGTGCATCAGAAAGCTCCTGCTGCTGCTGCTGCGCGTTCTGCACAAAACTAGTAAATCATGCAATACATACACACCCCGGGGATCAATCAACACAAAGTTACAAACACACGGAGCTCAGTCTCAGCTGCCCATGCATTCTTTGTTTGACAACGGAGCAGCAGCAGCAAGCAGCAACCACGACCTGACACGAGCACAGACAAACGCGTCTCGAACGCGTTTAAACAACATTCTTCCAAATGGTCTACATACAATACCGCTCCACATTCTACACCTCCCGTGTCCCAGGCGCTAGGGACTCCATGCCGAATACTAGGAGAGAGTAAGCGATGCGACATCGGGCGAAGCCTTTCTATGGACAAGCAACGCCAAATACATCGCGGCTGTCGATCGTTCCGACCCAAACAATATCACTCCCAACCGGTATTCCTCCTCGCACTACCTACTACGGGCGTTGCGACAAATCTACACGCGTAAGCGTCCCGATCGTTGTCCACACGTCGTCGGAAAAATAGAATGAAAAATAACAAATCGCTCGCAACTGAGAGATGGTGCGATGTGAAGCAGGGCCCAAGACTTCCGTTGCCTGAGATGCCTTCAGCGATATCACGAACCCCAGACACATCTGGGGAACACACGACAACCTCCCCCCCGCCTAGATTTCAACATGGCCGCTAGCGAGGCTCGTTCCCTTGCTGATCATCGCCGCGGAACCCGCGCCCGCTTTGCCTTCCTCAGCCCCCGGCTGTTCTGTCCGCTGCCGCCGCTGGTGCTGCTGGTGGGGGGCAGGAGCTGGTGGGGCTTGCCCCGCCCATGGTATCTGACCCCTGAGGGCATTGGAAGACCCCTGGGGCGCGGCAGGTTGCGCGTGGAAGTGGTGCTGGTGCTGGTACTGCTGTGTCGACAAGTATGGCTGCTGCTGCTGCTGCTGCTGCTGCTGCATGATACCACCACCGCCGAGAGCGGTGTGCCGCACCGCTCCTCCTTCTACCAACCCTGGCTGCTGGTGAGAGAGCAAGGGGAGAGATCGAGCAGAGACTGAGTGGGGAACTATAGCGTTGACCTATGGAAACCATACCGGAACATGACACACATGCCGTCGGAGGTGGGACTGCTGCTGTGTAATAATGCTCGGTGTGAAGAAAGATTGTCAGGACATGTGGTCGACTCAAACCAAACGTCAACCGTTCGGATCCGTTTCCAAACCGCACTTTTGCAAGCTCTTGTCTGACGCGTGCAGCAAGCAGCTCTGATATAAGAACCATCATTAACGAGGGGAAGCCAGGACTGTGCGGCACGGAGAGGACCGCCATCTAAAGGGCCAAGAAACATTATCTGTTGCTGTCAAGCCGCCGTCTGTCCACGAGCAAAAACCTCTTCAGGGGAAAAACACATTTTTGCGTTTTTATGCAACACACAGATGGCCAAAAACAAGAAAAAATCCCACCTGCATCGGAAGACCCGAAATCTCATTCGACCATCCCCCATTCGGTACCCGCAGCCCCGGTGTCGTCCCCCCCGGCATCATGAGCCCCGACGACCCCGGGGACGACGGCCGTGCTCCAAGCTCGGCGAGCGGCTTCCCGTCGAAGGTAAGAGGGCTGTGTGTCATCCAGTTTGGTTGTCTTCGATGTTGTTGTTGTTGTCCTTGCTGCTCCCACGCCGAAGGCGCCTGCACCGAATGCTGCTGCTGCTGCCGCGGCCCGTCGACCACAGGGTTTCTGGCACCGTTCGGTTGTTGTACGCCTGCTCCTTGTCCACCCTTGCCGGCATCCGCGGCGGTCCACGGGTGGTTGGACAAGAGTTTGTTGACAGAGACGTCTGTGCCGGCGGCGGTGGCTTCGTCTCTCTCCCTGCCCCCTTGCCCCTCCACGGCAGCCGCCGTTCGGGAGTTCAACGAAGGAAAAAAGGCGTTATTTCTGCCGCTCGCCCCCGCCTGCCCACCGCCAACTTCAGCTTTGACGCTGCCGACAAGGCCGCCGCCGTTCTCGATGTCCTCCGGTCTTGCCTCGCAGCTGGACTTGGACGTCGAGAAACCGACGACCCCGTCTGGAGACGGTGGGCTGACCGGAGACGGCGCGATGCCGACGATCGTGTTGTTGCGGGTGGCCGGCGTGGTCTGAGACAGCTGTATGCTAACCCCGTCCAAGGCTCGCTGCTGCTGCTGCTGCTGCTGTGCAAGGTGGGTGGGGGGCTGGATCCGGTCCGCGTGATCGTCCTGGATACGAGCCGGGCTACGCGCTCTTTTTCGGTTTGCTCCCGGGTGGTGGAGCTGTTGAGGCGGCGGCGCTGGCGCCGACCACTGATATTGCTGCTGTAACGTGCTGCCCACCGCCGCCGCCAAAAATCCACCGTCGCTGCTCTCGAAGCTGTTGCTACCACGATCGCTACTGCTAACGTTACCGACGCCGCCCCCAGCGGTACTCCACCCGTTGACAGGGGGGACGTCCCGCGGGGGGAACTGCTGCGGCCGCATCTCCGCGCCAAGAGCACCGCCACTCCGACCATCGTCCCAGCCGCCGGCCCCCCGGCCGCTCGGCGCCATCTGCCCTGCGTGCTGATGGTTGTGGTGATGTTGAAAGCCCGTAGTCCTGCTCGTAACGGGGGGGGCGGAGGCGAAGCTCCCAGGGAATGCACCCCCTCGCGCGTACTGCGGTGCCCCTGTCTGCTGCGGGATGATACCAGACCCGGCGCCGGCGCCGCCACCTGCTCCTGTCGCCACGGGGAAGAATACGCTGTCAGGGTCCTTGCTCGCGACCGCGATCTGCGCGGCCACCGCCGCCGCTGCCGCTGCTACCTCCGCCGCCCCCGACGGCTGCTGCTGCTGCTGCTGCTGCTGCTGCTGAATGCTGTTGACAGGGGGCGGTGCTTGCCGAGAAGAGGACGAAGATGGCCACACTCTCGGCATCGGTGCTGCCACTGACACCGGCGGTGCCGCTGTCGCTTGAGAAGTGTTGTTGGAAAATCCTCCGTTGAACCGTGCCGGCTTGAGAAGGGTCTGCGGGGGAAGGGGGGG